GCTACAGCTGATATACAGTATATTTGTTGTCAAAATACCTTTTAGTTCATATGTTGTTAAAATAAAATGAACAGTCCAATGATCATTTTACTGATATGTATAAAGACTGCAAAGGCTGAAAAATCTTGAAGTCTGGATGAAATTGGAGGTAGTTTGAGGATTACATTTTTTATGCTTTTTAAGCTAAAAAAAGTGGGGGGGGGTCGTATTACATGAGATCGTATTATACATGAGATCGTATTATACACGAATAAATACAATAACTTCCCTCTGGGATCAATAAAGCATTGTTGAATTGTTCATAGAAATGATTTTACCAGCGTTTAGCCAAGATTCTGAGGTTTCTGTAGATAACACACATCACAACACACAAATAACTTATTGTAATTAAAGTAGAAAACTGAGTTTAATGAATGAAGTGGTGGGTGGGCCCACGGGTCATCAGTTGAACAGCCCTGGTTTAGGCTGCTCCACATGGCTACCACGTGAGATGAGTCAAATCAACACTCTGGGTTTGTTTTTTATGAGGGAATGACTTTATAACATGATATAAATATCAAAAAATCCTGTTATGCATAATACAGCCTCTTAATAAATCTTGAATTAGTTTCTGTACAACTTAATGGTAAATTTAAAATTTATACTAGGAAGAATGTAATTAGAGATATTTCAAGTAGGTATTTTGCCTAGTCAAAATATGACTCATTACATCGGAAAGAGGATTAAGTATAAAAGTGGGATATGGAAATATAGGCAAATATAGTGTTCTGATTAAAACGTTTGCAAAAATTGCATTTTGTCAAAGCATAATAAATAAATGCCTTATAGTTATCAATGTATCATTCTGTCTGAAATATAATCATAAAAATTCTGAAGCACTTTTTTGAGCAGTAGCAGCAAAAAAACTGATTTTGAGCAAAAACGCCTTAAAATTTAGAGATTTTCCCTGTGAGCTAGAAATATTTTTGTTTCTTTCCAGCTGGAAAATCTCAATATTCAAATACTATATAAAGTTTCCTCTTTATAACGACATAAAAATTCCTCATTAAAATGACATAAAATGAGGATTCAGACCAAGTATTTTGTAACCAATAGGACAAATTAAGTCAAATATATAGATTTAATTATGATGTCAGAATGATCCAGGTATCAAAATGTAGCTTTTAAAGCCAAGAATCTGAGAATGTGATGAGGTCATTTTGACCAAATTTGACTTAATCCTCATTTTGATATGATGGGTCACATATAACTGAAGATATCTTAAATAATTAATGTGTGGAATGTGTCGAGGTGAAGCTGGTTTTAATGTTAAAAAGGCTGCCGTACATGAGCTTCTGCATGTTGCTGAAAATGATCTGCTTGACTCTCAAAACAGAAGCTGATCGTTAAATTAGCAAGATGGTCATCAGTGTTGTATAAAGTACCACCAAGTGATACTTGAGTAAAAGTACAAGTATCTTACCAAAAAATTACTTTGGTAAAAGTTAAAGTCTCCTTTAGGAATATTACTTGAGTAAAAGTGTTAAAGTATGTGATATTTGTTGTAGTTAAGTATTAAAAGTCAAAGTACTGATTTAAAATGAGCAGTTAGATTTTCTGTAAACATTTATTAGGAGGTGACCAAAAAAACTCAAAATAACTTTATTTATGTATTTATTTATTTAATGAAATACAAATACTTCTTAAGTACAGTCCTTTGATTTGAATGATTCTGTCCTGCTGGAG